AGTTTGATCGGAACTCAAATCCTGACAAACGGGCTGACTACATGATAGTTTTAATGCTTTTGTCTCATGAGCAACGTGAATATTACCCTGTTTCTCTTCAAAGTTCCTCATCAAGAACATCCTTTACCAAAAGCAGAGAGCCTTCATGCTTTTTACCATAAACCAAACTTATCAAGAGCTCTTCTTTTTTTCGGTACATATGTAAGGATTTTAAGTTTTACTAACGTTTATTTTAGTTTTAATACTTTACTGTCCTCTCTTATTTTCCCTTCCGGCCAGAATAAACGCGATTAATTTTAGTTATGCAAATTGAGCTTGCAAACTGTTAAGTATTTAAGTTGTGGCTTTTAGCCAAGAAGCAGTTAGAGAGAGACTTCTCGCTACCTTATCTCACGCGTGCTTTTCAGTCAGTCCCTGTCTGCCTTTGAGGCCAGAGCTTAGTTCCCTTTGATACTTGAAGACGTATTGTAGTTTTCTGCATTCTGCTCACTACATACGTAGAGTTTAAAAGGCTAACCTCCGCGTTACTAGTCTTTGTAAAATATCTGAGTTTAGTTCTTATTTAATTTAGTTTTAGTTCTTATTTTTACGTTTCAGACCAAACTACTGGTCTTTATATACCGAAGTACGGGAACGACTGTAAACTGTGAGAAATAAAAGGTAATTAAACCCTTCCCATTTGTGTTGTATCTTCTACACTTATACGAACATAGTTTAAGTAAACTCCCTGTTCCTACTCAGGACTCCAGTTATGTTTGCAAAGGCAATTAGAAGAAATAGTAGTCCTGATACATATTTAAAATGGAAATAATATGTGTATTCTGCATAAAAAGAACATTTCTTTGTATGAGATAATGTATATTTTTAAAATTTGTCTTTTAAAAATACTTCAAAATTTTATGCATTGATAAATTTCTCTTTTACCTTAGCGTATCACTTTGCATATCCATTTAATAATAAAATAATAATCACAGAGGATAAATCAATATGATTAATACTGGAAATTCTTCCAATCATAAAGATAATATTGTAACATGGGTTCATTCCATTGTGAGATTCCTTTAGTTTGAATAACCAATTATTTTATGATTTGAATCTATACTGTCACTTATCTCTGTTTTTCCGCCAAGATGCAAATTAGGTCGCGTGTATATAAGGCGGTTTTTAGAATGTATTCTTCCTCTTGAGGCCACGTTACTAAGTTTACTACTTTAGATAAGAGTCCTGTCTTCGGCCTTGCATTACAAATGCAAAAAGTTGAATTTACACCGGTGAAAATCTGAGCCAACTTCGTGTTAAATTGCTCTGTCTAGCCTTAGAATACTTGAATTTAGAAAATTATATTTAAATTTCTTTCCATAAATGCTGATTAATTAAATTACACCCTTCTCAGTTTTTGCTGTACGCAGGCATAAGCTGGTTGACATCTGCATAGAGTTTAATATTGGATGATACCTAAGAGAGTCAAACTGAACAGTGGCGCACAAGCTAAAATAAAGACTATGGCTCAAGTAAACTTCACGTTTAGTCTTGCTCCTCAACATCGCGAGTTCCGTCAGTATCAGTAAATCACACGGAAGGATTCCACTTCATCGGCAAGATTTGGCTTTATACCATGCTGCCATCGATGAAACCCGCACTGACTTTTAATGGAAAAAGTTCAGTAATGGCTTTTCTTGACCGTTTAAATTCGCATTTTTTACTTTATTCGGTACAGAAATTCAAAAAGTTTCTATAGCAACCACTGAATTACGAGGACAGATACTGAGCTGGCAGAAGTGTGTTGGGAAATTACTATTGTGAGAACCAGAAAGTGAGACCTGTAATTTCGAGATATTTAAAACCGCCTTTGTGAAAGCATTCCACGTAGTAAAATGTAGGAGAAAGTTAGAAGCTGAACTTTTCAGTAAATACCATTTGAAGGTCTAAGAACCAACCCAGTTTATATTAATAAAAATTCAAAGTTTTATCTGTTGTATGGGAAAAGGCTCAATGTAGATGTGGTTCAAGTTATTCTGCATACGTTGTCTTCACCGATTCAAGATTTCTTCGAGTTACGAAATCCAAGCACGCTCGAAAGTTTGAGCTCCCTGTAAAGTTTAAAAGCAGGAGATTTGCACTACGCGTACAGCAGGATATAGCCAGAGCTCAGACGGACAGATTTTATAGGGCTACAACACAAAGAAGGCCACGGTTTGATTGAAATAAAAATTTTGAAAGTAAGCAGAAATTTGCAACCGCAAGTGACGATCGCCAAGGAAAATCACAAAAAAGAGAAAACAGGGAGGAAAGCAAAATTTAAAACTAATAATGGGTACTGAAGTTAAGAGGGTACTCCAGAGGCAATAAAACACCTGTAGGATTTAATTAGATATGGTTGTTATCAAAAACTGGGCTCTGCCTGCAATACGATAAAATAATGTCTCAGGGAATGCACTATTGGACAGAGGAGCTCAAAGAACTTTCTCAGCAAAGAATTTTTTCGACATCATTATAGACGGTAAAGAATATTTGGGGTAAATGGAGTAAAGTAATTTCAGACAATGGCAGGCAATTTTTTAGTCAAATATTTCAGAAATTATGCCCAAAACTTGGCAAACGGGATTTAAGAATGATCCTTTGTGGCAGCGGTTAAATATAGCAGAGAGGGTAAATAAGAATATGATTAAGATTATTTATAATTATGTAAAGGATTATCGTAAGTGCTGAGATAGTTGTGTCAATGAGTTAACATTTGTGTAAATAACAACAGCAAACAAAAACGTTACGGACGCCTCAAATGAACTACAAGTTCTCCAGATGAATGAATGCAATAATTGTAAAAATTAACAACTATTTATTCAGTTAAAATGCAGCCTTTAAAATTTGCATTGTTAACACAAACAACATAAAAAAAGAGCTGAAAAACACTGCTTTCTAAATATGACATTAAAAAGAAATGAATATTTCCTTAGGAACAATAATAATCATTGCCGTTCAACAACAGGGAAAAGTAACAACAAAAGCATAAGTTGAAGACAGTAGGTGAAGTAGTAGATAAGTTTAAATACTGATATTAATTATTTTACACGTAACAATTTGCTTTGTGGACAGCTAAATATGATACTACCAGGAAAGCGCCTGCTAAATTGTTTCTTGGAACGATTGTCTTCTGGATAAATTATTTTTCTTTCAAAAGAGGGCTCCAGAGTAGCCAAATGGCAGACATTTAGAAATTAGTCCAGGAAGATATCCCTAATTCGGATATTGCAAGAAAAAAAGCAAAAAATTATACTGTGATAAGAAACGCTGTGAGTGTAATTTTAAAAGGGAGATAAAGTTCTCAAAATTAATCAATCTCTTTCATATGAACCTGAAGATGAAGTAGGAGAATTTTGCCCTAAATTTTAACGTCCTTTCTTTATTGAAAGAATGAGGCAGTCTGTAATATGTTTAAAGAAACAAAACGGGGAAGAACTAGTTGCAAATACTGACCATTTAAAAAAGTATTATAAGCGAGCTAACTTTCCTCTTTTAAAAGATATTTTCCAGGAATTCCATCCGAAATCAAGAAACTTCATAGAAGTTCCATCCACATCCAAAGTGCAATCCTTTAGAGAAAAAGATGGGGTACCAGAAATAGTGGAGCAGAGGAAAAACAAGGAGCAAGGATTGACACATCATTTTCATGTCTCCTGTTTCTAAATACTGTCTCTGCAGTAGCGCTCGAACTAAGAAAGGTCGTGGATGATGATTCTCCACCACCAGGATTTGGCTGATGGTGGAGGTTCTTTCCTGGTAGTATCATGTTTAGCTTTTATTGGCGATCAGGTCCCCTAATCCCCAGTCCTTACCAGTCCATACCTTAGACACTCCGCCTTTAAAAGGCGGAGTATCTAAGGTATTTCTCCCGCCTTCTTAGTATGCCTTTGTGGTGTAATGGTCAGCATACTCGGCGCGTATTCGAGAGATCCGTGGTTCGAGTCCCGGTGAGGGCATTGCTCATTTTTCATGTCTCCTGCTTCCAAATACCTAATGTCTCTACAGAATAATAAGATAATAGTATAATAATAAGGTAATAATTAATATTAAAATAATAAGTATTTTAGTTTATTTATAATTCTATCATTAATGTAATTTATGATGCATCTAACTCGCAGGAAATAAATATGTCTAACTAATAATTTTTATAAACATTTGCATAACTACTTAAATCAACAAAAAGTATTTTTGGCATGCTTTTACATATTTTATCGTCGAATAATCATTTACATGCTTCTGAACTATATTAAATTTTCCATTCTAGTTTAGATTTTATTACTATTATTTCTAAAGAAAGATGTAAAATTAAATAATAGTTTTTAGCTAACGTAATTTATAAGAAATCGAATTTATGTTCTTTAAAAATTATCTAATCTATAACATGATAAAGATTTGACATAATGCTATAATTAATGAAAGATTTTTCTAACGTCAATGCTTGTGTTTATTAATAGTTTTAGTTTCTTTGCTAGTTCTTACTTTTATTGCTATTGTTTTAGTTAACTAGTTTGCTTATTAGTCCAAAGGGATTTGAATCCCGAAGGACTATTAGTTTCGTTTTGGCATTTTTGCGTCGGACGGATAAATGTCGGTTCACTTTTCAAACTGTTGCCATAAAATGTTAGAGTCCTGTATTATATTTGAAGAAATTAAATAATGAAAATCTGTGTAAATGTATGTATATTTCTCACATTGTCATAAAATAACGGTACATAGAGTCATCTAATTTTGAATAACGTAATCCTCCAACGAATATGAGCATGTGGAAGACCAAATTTGAAATTTGAAATTTGTTTTATGATCGATTTCCTATTTTTTAAAAACTTTGACGAATTTTTGATTAACAAACTCAAGGATTTCAAAGCGAGCAATGGCAACGTTGCTCTGTGCAGAAAAAACATTTTTATCTCCAGCGCGTGAGTCTCTGTATCGGAAATTCTAAAGATATGCTCGTTTTAAAACTATTTTGCGATATTGCTGTTGCACTGGATCTTATGGTTTAAGTGCGAGGAACATGATATTTAACAAAGAAAGGTAACACACAAAATGTTAAAAAACGCCCCTTTGGACGTAATTTAAAATCTGAAACATTTCAGATTTTTTTTTTTATAGTTATTTTATTGTTTGTGTTTTATTGACTTGTTCTTGTGTTTGGTTATTCTATTAATCTATGTCTTTTATTCTGTTTCACACACGTTGGCTAATATTTGGCTTCGAAAGGTAAAACTAAATAGTAAGCTGTCAGCTCTTTAAAAGGGAAGAACTTTGTCTAGCATAGTATTTGTCTTTGCATTGTTTGAGTCTTTGCATTTTTGTCTTTGCATTGTTTGATCATTGTCTTTAAGCTTTGTAAGCATCGTGTAGAACAGTGCCATTTTAATAGCATTATGGGCCCCTGGGAAAACCAATGTGATGGGGTTTCTACTACAACCGCTTACAGAAATGAACTGTAATTTAAATGTAAATGGTTTAGCATGGGCCCTCATGCGTGTGGAGCCTCCAGGCAAGTGCCCACAGGACCTATGCGTTAAGACGGTTGGGAGTATATTCTTATCCGTTCAAAATGATAACTAGATTCACTTCCCTTTAAGCTGTTCAATATTAATTACTTTTTCTCTTTTTTTTAGTTTATATATGGCCATGTCACCTAAAACCCGTGAAGTTACCAAAGCAAGAGATTTCATCTGGAAGATAACTAATACTTTCATAGAAGAACATATACATTCATTTGATCCGAGTAATGTACGAGATTATATAGATGTTTATCTCTATAAACGAAATGAACTTCTTAAGAGTGGTAAACTGAATGAAACCTCTTTCTCAAGTAAGTATCCTACTATATTATTATGAATAATTAATAGAAATTTCCTTCTCTTAGTGCTGAAGCCTGAGTTATTATGTTCGGTCTCAGTTATATTATCACTAGGGACTGCAATTTCGGACCAAAAGTTCAGTACCGGTATTCGGTATTTTTTAGATCTTAATACCGGAATACCAGTTTTAATAGTAGGAATTTTAGAAAAAGAAGGAAAACATAGGTGTTTCTTTGTTTTATTTGCCAGTTTTATTAGAAAGAGTAAATATAACGAAAAGTCATTTGTAACTTATAAATTATAACAGTATATAAAGAACCACGGAAAAGTAAAGAAATAAGGAACATCTTATGTATTTAAATCACAAAAAAGTGTGACTCTCACCATTCACTCTGTGGTACTATTACAGATTTTTGAAATGTGATCTTAAAAACAATGCATTAAATTGTACTGTCATTAAGCCTGGAATATAATTTTGTGCAAAAGCTGTCGAAAACGCTGTTTCAGTATCTACGCTAGTTTGTGGTACTGTTAGCAATGCGCGATATATTTTTTCCAAGTATTTACCTCTAAATCCCTCATCTTCAAATAAATCGGTTTCTCGTCGGATGGCTTCGGATATAACTGATTTCCGTATTGTATTTTCGTTTGTTGAAATTTTTTTAGTTATCGCTAATTCTAACTTTTGTTCAAGACACACTTCCTTTTCACTATCCACTATCGATATCGACATTAGTGTCATCATCATCTTCGATAACTGTACCGAATTCTTCTGAATGTGGATAGGTTTGTGCGTAAAAAAATTTACAGAAAATTTACTATAAACATGATCAAATTTGATTTGGTTAGTCTCTTTTCTTCTTTTCCATTTTCATTTTTAATATCATTATAATTATGTAAATACCGTAAATATTTTTTATTTCGGTATGCCTTTCTTCTGTGCGATTTTTCAATTTAATATATAATTCTTCAGATAGTGATGTATGCTGTTCTATCAGTGACTACAACATGAAATTTATTGTTGCATTAGCTGTTAATAAATTAGAATCTCTCCGACATAATGCCTCCGCAACCAGTTTTGTTAGAAGTAGAGCTGATACAGTTCTGGATATTAAGTCGAATGTACTATCGGAAGAATTAATTTGCATGTTTAAGTCGATCATTGCTTTTTGGATTGGATTTTCCTGTTTCAAAAATCGTTCCATCATTAGGAGTAAACTGTTCCAGCGTGTTTTAGAATATAATATTAACATATATCTATTACTCCTAATTAAATTCCATGAGCATAGCGCAATTGCTGATTTGCACCAATCAACTTGATTCGCACCCAGTGAGTATTTTTTCATAACCGTTGCTCCATCAATCGTTATAGATACAATATCTTCTTTCAGGGATAATTTATGTTTCCCTAATTTAGATCTTCTTTCAGGGATAATTTATGTTTCCCTAATTTAGATTTAAGCACTTCCATACATTTTTCGGCTGGCATACTTCTCGAGACATGTGTAAGTCCTATATTCCAAATTTGTTTTCCTGAATGAATATTTATATTTAAATAGCGTCTATTTCTTACTCTTGTCCATTCATCAAATGTAAGACTAAATTTTTTACCATTTACTTTTAAATTGTATTAACTCGTGTTTCAAATAATTTCGAACACCGTTACTGTATTTATAACAGTTCCTGATGTTGGTAGATTTTTAAAACCACTGGCAGATAGTGATTTTCTTACTTCAGTAGAAGTGCCAAACACTTGAAATGGCAAACCATCTAATGCTGTTATTTTACTTATAATTTCATACGAATTATCTTTTTTTCAAAATAATCTAAAATCCCTGATTCCTTAGGCTTAGAAACTGTGCTTAATTATGTAGCTTCATCGCAATTAGATTCTTTCCTCTTTAACAAATTTGTATTATGTTTCGTTTTTAAATGTGTATGGAGTCCGCTTGTACTTCCTCCATTCACTTTAATAACTCTTGAACATTTTCCATATTGTGCCACCATAATCTTTTCATCACATAATGAAACCAAACCAAAGAATTATCAACAGAATTTTTTTTGTTTTTTAAAGTTATTCTTATTCATTATTATGGGTTTATTAATTATGAATCTATAATAATTTTGAACCCTAAAGTACGATATCCTAACAGATTGATTATTGTTTTCTAATCAAAAGTTTTCTTTCTACGACTCTGCGTTTTAACCTAAAAGAAAAGGTACATATTATCGAATCATCTTAGTAGAAATCGGCAGATTTTCAGAATGTGACAAACTTTGGCAATCATGTGCGTAAACATTCTTCGGCTAAGGCAACCGCGGTTCTCAAGACAGGTACCCGCGTGTAAGCGTTATCCCAATGTAATACATTTGGACGATTTTCGAACAGATGTGAGTTCTGAATACGTAAACTAGGATTACATAACATGTGGAGCACAAGCAAGATAAGCAATATATGGCAAAGATATTCTTTATATATGGCAAAGATATTCTATAACTTTCGATCTACGACACAGTCCACTGAGTAGTAAATGGTGAGCCAACAAGAGACCATATGCTAGCAGCTAGAGACCACAGCTAGCAGCTGACAGTCCAGTCCAAAGGAATCAGGATGCAAGTAAGCATTACAAGTAAAGAGCAGTGCAGAATCAGTAGCAAGTAGGTTTAAAAGAAATGCCAATATGCAAGATAGCTATTTCTAATGTAATATCACAGTAAGGCACCAATAAAAGGACACATAAACAAATAGTAAGCAAAAAGTTACGACAATCATGTACTTGATCGTGAACACATAGTGGAAAAGAATTAATAGAAGTAATACATAGTACAATCAGTACAAGAAATGTGAATAGGTATAGTACTGCTTTATATCATTTATCTCTATGCATATGCATTTTTTTAAATATACATTATTATGTAGCAAATCAGAATGACATTAGTTTAAATGCCCAAAGACCACAAGCGGTCTTTTCCTTTTCGCTCTACAACTGTAGTCATAATCCAATACAGAAATGGTATTGTTTTGTACCAATGGGATTTTGCGAAAGAAATTTTCGGCTAACAAATCCATATAGCACTGAATTTCTGGAATTTTGAATTCGCGATAAACTGCCAAGTTTCTAATAAACCAGCGATAACCCACCGTCTGTCGGGCATAACATTTTCTAAGATTTATAACTTATTCAAGGAAATTTTGCAAACATACTCCCAGACGGAGCAGGCATATGTAAGTATGGAACGCAACATGGTTTTATAAATGAGTATTTTATTACAGGTAGAAAGGACGTTGTTCCGACAAATTAAGAGGACGAATGTACGCTTACGCACTCGGAACTTGGCTAAGAGCTGTGTAATGTATGGGAACCATGTGAGGCAGTGATGAAGAGTAACTCGATGGTAGCGGGCTTGCTTGGTAAGGGGAATTGGCATATTGTACATTTTCACATGAATATTTGTATCTAAGTTGCGTTTTCTGGTGAATAGTATGGCATCGTATTTTTCCACGTTTATTTTTATTTTCCACGCCTGCAGCTAGGACTCCATTGAATGTAAGTGACTTTGCCGTGATTGTATGACTGGACCATGAGATGCGTTTTGTGATATAATTGCTGTGTCGTCTGCATACATAGCAAGGGTGGTGTGTGGTGTATGTGGGATGTCGTTCGTGTAAATAATATGTGGCCGAGGAGGGACCTCTGTGGTATACCAGTCTGTATAGGCCGGGGGTGGAAAGTATTTTGTTCACACGAACGACAAAGTGTAGGTCGATAAGATAAGAATAAGTGATGCTTGTGATGTAGTCTGGAAAAGTGTTATTATTGCAGTTCCACTTGCTGTGGTGTGCATTGAAATTTACACCTATGAGAATTTGATTATTGAGTCTAGATAACGCTTCAATATCGTGCGCGGTATTCAGTTGTCATCTTTTGTTGGGTGGAGCATAGTCAGAGACGATCGGACGATCGTGAGTCGTCATTGAGGTTAGTGAAGTGACTGTGATAGCTAAGGCTTCGAGAGCTAAAAGCTGTTGCAATGTACTGTGATAATAGGTGAAGGAGCGCTTAATTAAAACAATCAGACCACGTCCGAGGAACTGACTTGTCCTGCTCCAATCAAGTCTATAGATAACATAGTTGACAATAATTAAGACACTATAACACGCCGAATAAATACTAATTCAGAAGTCAAACAACAAAAATCAGCGTTATATTTACAAAATTTTCACAGGACTAGTTTCGATGGTTTTACCGAACCACCATCCTCAGCTGCAAAACCGCAAATGAACAAGATAGGAAATGAACGCTGATTTTTGTTGTTTGATTTCTGAATTAATAATTGACAATATCAAAAGTAGTACCCGGACCAAGTTTGTGTTTCTGTATTAGAAGTGCATCAGGAATGTACTCATTTATATAAATACGTAATTCATCAGCTTTACTTAGTAGACCATTTGCATTCCATGTTACAACTCGAGACTCATTGGCCGTAATAAAAACTTAATTTAGGAGCCCGTTAATTTCCTCAAATATGAGGTGAAGAATTTGAATTTTATCCAAAAGATCAGTACATTTTCTGAGCTCAGGTAACTTGGTTTTATAAATTTGGATTACGTGGCCAGCACTGAAACCAATAGGCTTTGCGCTATTTTCAAAACTTTGAAAAGCTCAGAAATATCTGAAAGATCATTATAATTATTATTACAAGCATTATTACTGTTACGAGAACCATTATCATTGCTTAAGTTTACAGAATTATTGGAAGTAGTTGCAGCAACGGCAGGAGAAGTTGTAAACATTCTTTAGGTAATTTTGCACTCTGTTTTAAAATATCGCTTGTGAAATTTGTCAGTTCACCGGCAAATTTCATCTCATTCCGTCATTCATACGTTCACTGCTATTCATTTTACTTGAGACTTTATAAATCTTGCCCAACCCATATAGTATTTAGCGATGCTGCTGCGGTACGGGTGGGCTCGGGTTCGAATCTCGGAAAAAGAATGTATGCTTTTTCCGAGTTACCAGACAAAGTCCACCTTGTGGGTGCACCCTAGATAACGCTAAATGTTCTGCAACGATTGCAGCTCCCCTCTTTCACCTAAATGACTAGAGGGTCAATGGCCTGACATTTGCTTGTTTGATTTTTATATAAAACTTATACCCAATTCTTGGGAGAAACATGGCGAAAGTCGTGAAGGAGTGCGAGCATACAACTTGGCAAAACTTCCTAGTGTGTTTATATTAGTTCCACAAACACAGCTCTGCAGACACGCACGTATAAGCTTACGAATTCGGTTACTATGCCGCCAAGAAGAATAAAAAGACTATGCCGCCAAGATAGAAAAATGTCATCAGTGATCATCAGAACTGATCTGAATGATGCTGGTGTTTCTGTCAGTTCAAGAACAATCAGGAGAAGATTAACAGATGTTGGACTGAGAGGTAGAATTCCACGAAAAAAGCCATATCTTAATTTTCAGCAACGAAAAAAAAAAAAAAAAGACTACAGTGGGCAAAGGAACACATTAATTGGACAGATGATCAGTGGTCACAAGTTATATGGAGTGATGAAACTAAGATATCGTTATTCGGTAGTGATGGGCGAAAATATGTAAGACGTAGAATAGGTGAGAGCTACATCCTGACTGCATTCAAGCAACTGTGAAGAACCCAGTTAGTGTTATGATTTGGTCATGCATGTCAGCAGATGGTATTGGTCGCCTTCATGTCATCGATGGGACACTGAATGCCAGAAAATACATTGACACTATTCTAGAACCAAAACTTCTACCTCCATCAGAGATCTCTTTCCCAACAATGCTTCGTTTATTTTGCAGCAGGATTCTGCTCCTTGCCACATGGCCAAAATATCGAAAGAGTAGTTTCGTACAAAGAGCATTAAATTGTTGTCATGGCCAAGAAACAGTCCTGACCTCAATCCTATCGAAAATTTGTGGCACCCTTTAAAAACTCTTGTCCAAATGAGACGCCCATCAAATAAAAGGGAACTAATTGAGGCTATAATTGTTTCCTGGTATCATGTAATAACGAAAGAAGAGCTTAAAACTCTTGTCAGCTCAATAAAACGTCGATGTGAAGCTGTAATCAAAAATAAAAGGTACCCTACTAAGTACTGATAACTCACTGCAATCATCACTATCTAATGTATATCGATAGCTATTATTGTTTAACTTTTTTTGTATTGCAAATAATGGAATTTTGTGTTTTGTATTGAATTCAGTAATAAATTCTCTTTAAAATGATATATACAAGTTTGAATTTTGTGAAACGTAACGTTTTCTATAAGCATACAAAGTTCAAAAACATAAAAATTTCCAAAAGTGTCCACAATTTTGGCCACCACTGTACGTATCTGCAAATCGAGAAGTTCTAACGCCCAGTGAAATTAAATGAGGAATTACGCGGCTATTGCTAATTTAAGTTATAATTTTGAATTACATATTTTATCTTTTTTATATAACTCGATATACAAAACATATTTTGGTTTGGCTTTTTTTATCTTATTTTTACAGAAAACTTTAAGGAAACTAGTATTTTTCAAAATGTTGTGTTGGCTCAAGCTTGTCTTGTGTAATCACTGATAAATTTTAATATCTTTTGAGACAGAACATCCGAGCCCAAAGTTCCTTCCTCCCCTTTTTTATTGACAATGCTTCGCTTAAAATTTGATTTTTAATCCAAAAAAAGACTTTTAGTCTTGAAATGGGATGTTGCGTTAGTTCAGTATAAACGGCGCATAACTTTTCAACTTGCTGCCACCAAATATCAGTATTTTGTATATGTACCAAGTTCAAAATAAATCTGAAAAGGACAAGCTGTCTTAATGCCTTTCACCCGAAACCTCGGCGGCCTTGCTCAGCTCCGTTCAAATTTTGAAGGATAATCTCTCAGAAAACGAGCTCAAGGATCACCCACCTCTCTTTCCCTAATACCACCACTCAAAATGACTTTCGGTTCGCCATGTACTTTAAATTCTCTTAAACAAGCATCCTCCAGAATTCGAACCCAGGTTCAACGATGCAGTAGATAGTAACGCTAACCACTAATGCCGATCAAGGTGACTACCTAGTGGTTTGGCAAATTAGGGTTTTTTTTTCCCCTTCACGATGTCCTGAAGAACGGATTAGCCATTTTGTTTACATCAACTTGATTGGAATGCCATAATTTGGCTATCACCTGCACTGTGTTTTTCTTCTCATCATAAGGAAAATACAAGGAAGATCTATAGGCTTTTGTATGCTCGTGCTCAGGCAAAACTTGAAAATCTTCATTGGTAATATGCTTGACCACTTCTCGTTTTTGTTTTTTGTACAAAATCTAAACCTAACTTTTAATGCGGTCTCCGGGTATACTTATAGTTGGAGAAGTTTTATTCTTATTATGAAAACATAAAATTGTAAGAAGTTTGTCCTGCTTACGACAAAAATTGACAGTGATAATTTCAAAATTTGCAATTTTAGGTATCATTTTCAACTTGCCTCGAGCGATCGGTTAATTTGGAATAATTTGAGGGAATAAGTTTAAATGAACATAAAGTTAGCAAAAAATGTGTGTAACTTAATAGGTTTACAAGGAAGTCATGTGGTGCCCAGTATCCACATCAGACTTTTTGTATTTACTGAGCTCTTAAATAGAAAGTGAAAGGAAATTGGCTTCGTGTTTGGTGTGGGATAAAATTCTTGCCGTAATCTGGGACCAAATAGGACACTATTACGTGTTTGCATTCTTAGGCGGAATATTTGTCATGCCAGGCGTTCATTATGAGAAGCTGTATTGCGTTTGTACCTTAACAGAAACTATTACTGGCATCAATTATGAATATATTCTATTTTACATCATTGAAGGTAAAAGTATGTAACTTTTAAGCTTCAATAATATATAATATTTCTTACGGACAACAATTTGTGGCTTCTATCTAGAAATTCATTCTGTTAAACACAATTAGTATTTTTATGCTCTGAGATTATTCGCCGTGGCCATTTCGCCGTGGCCGTTTCGCTGTCAAGACATATTTTTCTTTACACGACTGTATTTTATTTTGCCATATTATATTAAGTTGATTTAAATTAATAACTCTGTTTAATAACTTGATTTAATTTAATAAACATCTTATATAAAATGTTTTTGTGCACAGTTTTATACAAATACACCGTTACACATGACATATCAGTTTTAAGAGAGTAGGGTGCTGACAAGATTTCAAAGTAATTCCGTTTACCATTCAGATTTTATAAAAATTCGAATTTCCTGGTTGTATGAGTGATTTCTCTGAACAAGCCGTTTAAATTTCAAGAAATCTTGACGAATCATGCAAATATTGTACCCACATAATTTTAAAATTGATAATTTAACTTCTCTTATATCAGAAGTTTAGCCCCAGTTCTCTTTGATATTGACATAATTTTCCAACTAAATATGCGTAATTTCTTTACTTCTCATACTTGTAAATAACTATACATTTTAAAAGGAACCTTTATTAAATATGAAAAAGCTAAACAAAATTATTAAACTAAATAAATTTAATGCAAGTATAATACGGCAAGATAAAATACAGTCATGTAATGAAAAATATGTCTTGACGGCGGAACGTCCCGACGGCGAAATGGCCAAGGTGAAATGGCGACGACGAAAAGTCCTAGACCCATCTAATGGTAAGTGGTTATGCCCTCAGGTATAATATGCACCGTGCCCTTTAAAGTCTTTATCATGCCATTATTTTCATAATCATTGGTTGAAGACATGCACTTTGAAATACAAAATTGCTTTAAATGACGCAAAGATTCCCATTTTCGTCTTATTAATTTAAAAGAATAATGTACAAAATTCAAAATACGAGTATAACTTTTTACGCTTTCCTCCGGTCCCGGTATTAGAAAAATATTGTACTTATATTGAAATTGGTCCCTATATTGAAATTGTAAAAAATCAAAAGAAGGTGCCTCCTGTACGACAAAAAGGACTGAGATATTTGATATTAAATTCAGGAATTATAATCTGTAGAAGGCTGCACACAAATTGAAGAGCGATATGCTTACATTTATGCGTAACTAACAAAAATATTATTTTGAATAAGATTAAGGGATTACTAATGACGAGCATTCCTATAAAGATTATTCTGAAAAATATTAATGAATATAATTTTTTAACAGAGATCTTATTCACTTGAGTCTTATAGAGTTCGTATTCTAGGAAACACTGGCAGGCTTCAGTTTGTCAATAGCCAAATCGTAACATTTTTTGAACTAATTAAAAATGTAAATATTTCTGCTTTTTTCATTACTCGATTATGATTCTAAAATAAGAGAAATTCGTGAGGATATTAATGACATATTTTTAGGCTTTGCAAATTTACAAATTACTTGCATGAAAGCTCTTTTGGAATACCAAATGTAGCAAAATTATAAATTAAAGACACAAATCACAAAAGAATATCAATGAATGGCGTTTAAGGGAGGGGGATGAAATCACTCTCGAATTATTCTAATTTATTTATCAACCGACTCCTCGAAGCGAATTAAAAGAAATGTCAAATATCTCAAATTTTGAAATTGAGTATCTCAGTGAAATTTTGTCGTATGGGAGTCAAATGTTACGTATGTTATTTTTTATAACAAATACAAAATTTTCGTGATGTAAGTATAGGAACAAGAGGAACGTATAAAAAGTTAGATTTCATCTTTTGTATAAAATTAACTTTTAAAAAATTTAACACGAATCTCTACGTCATTTAAAACATTTTGATATTTCAAAGTATAGGTCTACGACCCACGGTTGCAGAAATAAAGGCCAGGGAAGAAAGTTTCGATAAATTATATACTTATTTCAGTTGTTCTTAAAAATTTATGATTTATCTACTTGTGAATTACAGTGGAAAGACTGCAAGGCAACTGCTTAAATATCTTCTTCGAAGGCATAGAATCTGTAAGCATCGCTGCCACGGGTTTGTTAACAGAGCTAAGCAAGCATCTGGATGTTCAAAGAAAAGTCCAAAAAGAAGTAGATAACATAATAGGAAGAGACCGACTACCCTCGTGGACGGATCGACAAAACTTACCATATCTTGATGCCACTATGTACGAGTTATATAGAGTAGCATCACCTTTTCTTATTTCCACACAGCTTTCGAACTTCGGTAAGTAAAATAAAAATTCAGATTTACCTCTTATTCCAAATTTTAATTCGCGAAAAAATAAATTTTGTAAAATTTGTAGAGATGCCTGCGAAAATCTCTACGTTTCGCAGACTTTTTATCGATATTGTAAATGGTGTCCGCCGGAAACATCCTGATAAAGGGCGGCAGAAATTTTAAATTTAGAGAATTTATTTCGATCTGTTTTTGACGATCTGAACTCCATTCTGAGCTTTTGATCATAATTATAATTTGATACTGCATAATTTTGATCATAATTATAATTTTAAAATAATCCCGTAACTCTGCATATTTCCACTTGCCATCTTGTACTCATTTCAAACTGAAAGTCAACCGATGAATATCGAAATTTTAATGGCAGTGCAAACCAAACCAAAAACTTGTTGTTCCTTTTGAACTAGGCCTCCCTGCTGAATGAGGCACTTGCTTTCTCGCTTCAACTCTGTAAACTTGCATCTGCCGTTGCACATTTCAAAGTACATTTTTGAAAGTAACGGTGTCGTTTTAATTCTCCAAAAATCGGAGCTATGGAGTCCAGTTATTTACGTTAACTTTGTAAGATTTTACCTACATCAACTTTACTTTGCTGGCTAAATCTTTACTTGAACTGTGAAGAGACTATTTGCTACGTTCTGTATCAATGGCAGACGTAAGAAGGGTGAAAAGACCCTTTTATTCAACTCAAGGAGGAATTTACAGACGGCAAATGCGGTGCTTACAAACTGAATCAATACGTTTGGCTGCCATTCAAAATAGAAATATAAAATTAAAACTAAGTTAAATAATCAGCTGAAACTTCGTAGAGATAATTAACGCAAGTTGGCTCTTAGCCCTATCACCGAAGTAGACAAACTGTCAATTAATATGCACTGTCATAAACTATCAAGCATAAACCATAGAAACAAAGTGGCTGAACGGCAGAACATGCTCTGTCTGAAGTAACTCAGACACTATCTTAAATAATAGCTTTCTGCCCTACTTTGCATATCACGCTAAACTAAAATATCATTTTTGCAGGAAATGAAAGTAAAGGAAGATAGAAAAGATACGTAACTAAACAAAACTGGTTAGCTTAAATTAATTGCTTCTTTGCAACTTATTGGAATGTTTGATCAACAATATAAAAATGAATATTTAAATCTGTGTCTGCTGCCAGTTTGTTCTTCATTATGTATCTTCCGTTTATCTAATTTATTACCTACCTTCAACAAATCTACGTTATTTCATATAAATATGTGAATGTTTCATTTAGCAATACATCCTCTTAAATTCCTCGAATTACAATTTCATTCCTTTGAAAGTGATTGTCTCTCTTTTTCATTTTAGAGCAAATAAATATGTTTTTCATTCCCGTAACTAAGAAATTTCGACTTTTGCCTGTGGCTGAAAAAGTTTCACCTAGAAATGCATACTGGTATTTCTCTTGTTACAACGTTCTTTGACTGGATGTGAAGCAAGCCCGATTCCTTTTTCTTTGGCCCCATATCAATTAAACATATTAATAATTAAAAGCCAAAAATATGTTCTTATATAGTTATTCCCTGTGAGCATAATATAGCTGGTGCCCAAGGAAAAATCTGCGTCCTAGGCTGCTGTCTATGTCACCTATATCTCTGTTAATTACAAATGATACAAATATTTGTATCATTTGTAATTAACAGAGAGAACAATATCTCTCTTTAAATTCGTGATAGAGTAACACTTGCTAAACGATGCTTCTTTAGTTTCCAAGAAGTATCTGAAATTAAACTTTATCAAAAGAACAACTAAATTGACAATTCAGGAATGTTTAATTAGATCTGTTTTGACACATGGAGCTCGAACTTGGTCAAAGAAATACATTCAGAATTCGAATGAGGAGTCGATCAAGATATGAAGTATGGTGTATTGCAAATTGGGAGGAAATGATTCAAAGTTTCCTCAAGATATAATGACAATAATTTTACGTAATTTAATGCAGTAATACGTTTTCTTGTATTAGGATGATCTCATTGATTGCGCCCCTGTTTTTAACTGCAAAATTTTAAACATTTTCATTGGCATTCAAATAAGTAAAAGAATTTATAAAACTTATATAAAATTTTATTTAAAATTTTCTAGTTTAAATGTTTGGCAATGAAACTTCTGATTATGAAGTTTTTCGTCTAAGAACAATTTTTTTTTTTTTTTTTTTTTTTTTTTTTTGATTGGAAATAAAAATAAATTTTAGATGTTACCTGCATTTTTTTTGTTATGTATTAGTGAACTTATGTATAATTAAAAAATTACTGTATATTTTTGTTGAAATACAAAGTATGTTGGTTATATAAAAGACACTGTAAGAGTTTATTTTTCTGGGGAAAGAGGTATGTTTTAATTAATCAAATACCTATCGAGATATTTAGGATTATTGAGTGAATTACCAGTAGTTGAGTGAATAAAATACGCATGACGTAAATATTGAAATTTTGTGGCACTGAATATTGAATTTTGAGGCATTGAATATTGAATTTGAGTCGCAGGTATATTTTAGGCAGCAAAAATTATTTAGTTTTTCATATGCCGCAAGCTCTTCAAAAGGCATTAATGACTCAAAAATAAATACTACTGGAGGTACTTTAAACAAGTCAGTTCAACTCCTTACATTTGTGGACGATATCGACATTATTGCTAGCATTCTTGAAGCACTCAAAGGGCATTTCTCTCACTGGAGACCGAAGCATCTAATATGCAATTAAATATTAATCAAACAAAAACTAAATATATGATATGCTCTTAGTTATAATTTAATCATTCTTTCTTAGAATATGATAATTATTAATTTGAAGCTTTTGAGTATTTCAAATATTTGTATCATTTGTAATTAACAGAGAGAACAATATCTCTCTTGAAATTCGTAATAGAGTAACACTTTCTAAACGATGCTTCTTTAGTTTCCAAGAAGTATCTGAAATTAAACTTTATCAAAAGAACAAATAAACTGACAATTCAGGAATGTTTAATTAGATCTGTTTTGACACATGGAGCTCGAACTTGGTCAAAGAAATACATTCAGGATTCGACAGAAAAATTTTGACATACATTACTGAACATTGTCGGAGATGTTCAAACAGATGGCAACAGAGAAACCAGTGCAGAAATCTACAGGAAGTACGGGTATGAAACATCATAAATTTTAGAACTCAAAAATTTAGATGAATTAAATGACCGGAGCAGGTCTATTCTGGTCAGAATGCCGAAAATGGAAGAAAAAATACAGAACCATAAAAAAGTATTGTATTTGAATAAAAAACAGAATTACAAAATAATAATAATAATAATAATGCAATAATAGACCTATCAAAAATATTCATGTACTGTCTGAAGACAAACTTACCTAACTTAAGCGTCATTAACTGTAAATTAAGGTCAGGAGTAGAACAGACTGGAATGAAATTCTAAACAATGCCTGAGCTCATTAAGGGCTATCGTGTTCCTAATGAATACCAATTGTCCCAAAGTAAAATTTTCATAAAATATATTTTTGACAATACTATTACAAAATTATTAAAACATCTCAACTCTTTGGAACATTTCCTCTAAAATGCATTTTGGTTCGTTCTAAAAGTAAGAAGAAAATTAGTACTTATAGATTAGGCACTGGCCTTGAAAGAAATAATTCCTTACAATTGCTAAGAAGTAGTAAAAGGTTTTATGATTTTTCAGTCTGGATTTCTCGAGTAACTCTGTTGTTGCGTGCGTAATTCGTAATGGATTGAATGCACACAGAACTTCTGATAGCTTGATAAAATTTATTTTACCATGGATATCTCCGTACTCAGAATTCAGCTCTGAACTGACCAACTCCGAAATTGATGCTCTCTCCGATTTTATACAGACTTCCCTCATCAGCCTAAATGTCTCTAATACCTCCACTTCTCGAAATTACTGGAAGGCATATGAGGGCCGGACACGTTAACAGTTATATATCTAGATTACTTACATTTATTCAATCCCAGTATTAATTACAGTTGTACATTAACCGGACTAAAATATATACAAATGGTCCCCGCCAAATTTGGTGAGAAAAATTGGTCTCCAAAACAGTAGCCAACTTGGCGATATCTCGCCAATTTAGTGAGATAGTCATTTACTCAATGTTAGATAGATCTGACCCTGTATTCTTACTTTTTCGACAAAGCTTCTCTCCGTTAGATTGTCATGTTACATTACACGGAAAAAAGTGCTACAATTTCACTAAAATAATTTACATATGTACAAAATTCGTAACAATTTTTAACATAAAATACTTCTCATTGAACTGTTTTTTAAATCTGCAGATCTTTCTATGTTCTTAGACGGATACATTCTAGAACAGTATAAACTTTTGTGTATTTTTAAGAGTTACATTAAATATTCTTTTCAGAGGAAACCACTATCAAAGGTTACAGAATTCCCCGTCGCAGCAGCATTATAGCAAATTTTTGGACGTTAAATATTGATCCTGAAGTTTATCCGGAACCGGAAAAGTTCAACCCTGGGAGATTCTTAAGCGCTGAAGGCAAAAGAATCAAATCTGACACACCACATGCTTTCGGAATAGGTAAGTACAATTAGAACGAAAGAAACTGTTGTTTCCCACCGTCAGTTAAGAAAATGCGTGCATTTTACACAAATTTAATTTTTGTGTTATATTTTTTCTCCTGTGGCTAAAATACGAAATTTAGCCTTTAAAGTCACGATTCCTGGCAGCAAGTTTTGAGGAATTTAGCATTTTTTGTCAGTGCGGCTTGACATTGAATTTGTGAAACCAAACGTGCTCTAAAACTTTGCATGAAAGAACAAGGACATTGAATTTGTGAAACCAAACGTGCTTTAAAACTTTGCATGAAAGAACAAGAAAAATTTTTGGGGGGTGGGGGCAGAAAAGGAATAAATCATCGGTTGCAAAACATTGTTGGTCTTAAAATCAAAAATTCATTTTCTCTTCTCCAAATAACCCAAAAGATATTCTCAGGTCGATAAATTAGAAATCCACGAGGTTTGTCCATCCATAAAGATCTCGCTACATTAGTCAGTGATTTGTAGTTTAACCTAGATTTTCGACCATTCTATAAATTTGCATAGTTTATTTTATTCCATTTTTGATTATTAAGTTATATTACTTACTTTCTTTCTTTCTTTTCGTTATCCTCTCCCCATTCTCTCTTCCTTCATTACAAACAACGTCTTCATTTACGTCCTAGGAAGATCTCAAGAATTCATCGCTCTCTTTTCCTATTTGTTGTGCTTGTCTTTCATTTAATTGCAATAGAAGAAGACGTTAATGTACCAGGTGGCCATAATTAAACTGACAGTGTTCTGTAGCGCGATCTATTTGTGAGAATGACGCCACATTTTGTAGGAAGATTAAACAAGACAGGGGACGAAGGATTCCGCGAAAAAACAAATTAGTTCCAAAAGTCACCGCTAGGGGAATATTTGGCGCTGTGTAATAGAAAATAGAGTGTTACCAAATGGAAATCAATACGGAATAAAATTTCATTTTAATATGCACATTTTCTGATTTAGTTTAAGTGCAATATGGCAACACTTTTAAAAAGCGTAAAATCTACATAAACACCGCTAAAGTATCGTGATCTGCAATATCACGTATACTGAGCAGAAGAAGTTCTTTATTTAAATTTCACGTTACATCCATTCGCACAGTGCCAGCTGCTTGGGTTTTAAAAGGCAATGTGTTACGTTTCGAATCAATCGGATTGAAAGTTTATGTGCAATGTCTCCTTCTTTAGTCCAATGCGCGTTACTGGTCAAATTCTTTTACCTCAACCAGTGCAACGCGTCAGCCGCTTTTCGTGCTTTTAGAAAGCGCAAAAAAAAAAAAAAAAAATGCATAAATGGTAATGGTCCTGTGTCAGTTAATGGGCTGAAATGCAATGGTTGCGACGTTTGAGAAAACAAGTTCTCTGAAGGTTCAGTCAGGCAGAGGATGAAAACCTGTACCCACAGAATACAATCGAAGCAGTTGCCACGGAGATTGTCGACAGAGGACCAGACAATATTGCTGCCACCTTCAGCGCTCGTGGAGTAGCTCAGAATATAGATATGCCTTATAGTATGGTATGGAAAATCTTACGAAAGAGGATCAACTTCTATCCGTACAAGATCAGCCGTGTACTGGAGTTACTGTACCCCGATCATGATAAGCGATTGACTTTTGCTCTCACATTTCTTGCCAGAATGGAGGTGGATGATGCTTGGCCGTGGAAAATCTTATGGGAAGACGAGGCCCACTTTTATCTGAATGGAACTGTGAATACCCAGAACTGCCAAATTTGGGATGACAAACCACTGCATGCAGTCACAGAAATTCCCTTACATTCACCAAAGGTAACTGTTTGGTGTGGATTCACAGCGGAATTTATTGTAGGTCCATTCTTCTATGAGAACATTACCCAGACTGGACGGAAACCTGTTCTGTTACTGGAGAGAAATATCGCCCCATGTTGAACAGCTTTGTCATTCCGGCACTTCAGCAAAGACAATGCCTGGGGGAAATCATTTTCATGCAAGATGGAGCCCCTTCACACATTGCTGTACGGGTGCAACAGATGCTACGACAGAAATTCACAACAGAAAAAGTCATTAGCCGCTACTTTCCAACTGCATGGCCACCTCGGTCGCCTGATTTTACCCCATGCGACTTCTGGTTATGGGGTTACCTTAAGTCCAAGGTCTATCAAGGAGTGGTCCAGGACCTGGCTATGTTGAAGGATAACATATCACGGAGTGTACGGGAGATTCCTGCAGATATGTTACTTTCTGCTGTTGTGCATACTGTGCACAGAATGCAGTATGTGGTCCACAACAACGGCAGTCACATTGAACCTCATTTGAATGCAAAATAAAAGGTAATTTCCGTATTGATTTGCATTTGTTAACACTCTATTTTCTATTACACAGCGCCAAATATTCCCCCAGCACTGACTTTTGGAACTAATTTGTTTTTTCGCGGAATCCTTCGTCCCCCGTCTTGTTTAATCTTTCTACAAAATGTGGCGTCATTCTCGCAAATAGATCGCGCTACAGAACACTGTGAGCACTGTCAATTTAATTATGGCCACTCGGTATAATCACTGAAAGCATTTCCTCTAAATTAACCCAAATGCCAAATAACTTGTTTATTTATTACCAGTCTTGTCCGTGGTATTTTGATATATTTAAACAGTTTTAGAAAAATGGCAAACAAAATTAAAAACTATGTTTTTATTGATAAAAGTGTGTAGGTTTTTCGTTTGTTAATTAGTCAGTCACCTTATTATTTTTCCTCTACTTTTGCTTTCGTCGCTTCCCATCGGGATGAAAATTAGTTAATGTATTTAAGCGCAAAATTCATGATTTCGAGAAAGAACACTTGGCAGCTATCAATGATTGCCACTCTATTAGTTCTCTCTCCTATTGAATAACTTAGATCAGCTTTAGCTTTCCTAGCCATAATTGTTTTACGGAAAATTGAGGCTGAGCAAAGGCTTAGTAGGCGCGCTTTATTTATTTTTTTATTTTTTTAGTTTTAGATGACTTTTGTTCTGAATTACCGAATTTGTGGAAGTAGTGCAGTTATTTGCATCTATGCAATTCATATATCGTGAATAGCTGAGCGTCAGAGTGTACTAATATTCATCTTTGGTTTGTTTTTACAGTTTTGACAACACATGGAAAATGGAAGACCAAAAGTTGCATTTGCATCGCATTTTATTGTTTTACTTCCGGAAAGAGAAGAATGCACAACTGAGGGTTTTGAGTTTTCAGATGAGAGCTTTCGGAACCACAACATAGACAACTGTACCGCCATTTAGGCATATCGGTTGATTGTCCATGATGTGGGGCTGCCTATTACCGGCTATCCCAAGAGGGACCGACCCCAAGCTGCCATTTATTTAAAAAATTCAGCTTTTACAATTTAGAAATTTTACATAAACAGGCTTTGGGCAGACGTGTCTTGCTGTTACTTACTTTCCCCAGTTTTGTCGTCTTAAGCATCTTGTTAAGCCTTGTTAGCGATGGTCTGAAATACGCGCCGGTAAAATACCCGAGCCGATTTAAGTAGTTTATTTGATGTGTGTATTCTCCGACCACGTTATTAGCATATGAATTTAATTTTCTGTTATATTAAGTTAAACATCGGTAAGGTAGCGGAAGTTCATTGTGACACAAACTGTGCCTGTTTTATTCAACTTAAGCGGAAACAAAAAGATTATTCTAACCTTTCTTTGGACTTTGTGATTGCTTCAGATTCAGCGACAACTGGCTAGCAGTCTAGTTGGGTCTGCAGGAAACAAGCCTCCAAAAATACATGATTTTTTTTATAATTATAAACATTTTTTATGTCTAAGCAAACACTGTTATGTTAGTTTATCATATATACAGATAATCTATCTAGTTTCAAACTATTTTGTTGTTGTCATTTTGATATATATTGTGGGATCTAGTATGTTTTACCAGCATGAACTAACTACATCTACTTGGATGTTAGCCTTGCGACTTATCGCATAAGTGTGAAGATGAACACAACAGGGGAAAGGTATAAAAGCCCTTTTATTTTATCACAAAAATATGTAAGAGATGGCACGGTCTTATGTGCGTGCAATTAAAACACCGTCCACTTGCGGTGTGAACTTAAAAGATAACAATAAACTTAAAAGGTAAAGATATAGTACTAAACTATACAATTCAATTTAGTCTAGCAGACTGACTCAGAAACCTACACCGGCGACATACTAACTAGACGTCCAGAATGTATAGCCGCTACTAGGATTAACAGCTGGATAACAAAACAGCAAATACGCGCTTTCACTAGCGAAATCACGCTCTCTCTACACCTTTTCATTCCAACGGCTTAAATACACTCTTTCATTTACTTCATTTACATTCTAGCAAGGGTAAATAAGAGAATTCAGGAAAGGCTTGCAAATTAAAATAACTGTTCATAAAAAATAAATTTTAAAAAAATCTGAAAGGTTTCGGATTTTAAATTGCGTCCAAAGGGGCAATTTTTTTAACGTTTTGTATGTTACCTTTATTTATTAAATATCATGTTCTTTGTACTTAAACCATAAAATTCAGTTCAATAAGAATGTTGCAAAATGATATTAAAATGAGCATATCTTTAGAATTTCCGATACACAGTTCCGCGCGCTGGAGTTAAAAGATTCCCCCCCCCGTAGAGTGTTGCCATTGCTCGCTTTCAAATCCTTGAGTCTGTTAATCAAAAATTCGTTAAAGTTTTACGAAATATGAAATCGATAATAAAAAAAAATTCCAAATTTCAAATTTGGTCTTCCACATGCCCATATTCGTAGGACGATTACGTCATTCAAAATTCGATGGCTCTATGTACCGTTGTTTTATCACAATGCGAGAAATATACATACATTTATGAAGATTTTTCATTATTTAATTTCTACAAATATAATGCAGGACTCTAACATTTGGTGGCAACAGTCTGAAAAGTGAAACGGACATTTATAGTGATTTAACGCAAAATCGCAAAACGGCTTTCAGGTACAAAGCCCCTTTGGACTAATAATAAAACTAAACAGGACCCTACAGCAAGTTGTAAGCTAATTAACATAAAATAAATTGGCTTAAAGTATTCATACATATTGCACGAATACTTTTTTCGTTTGCTGTACCTCTCTCATTTAAAATAATGAATTGTCTTTTATGCTTTTCCTTGTAACGCTTACTAATAGCTCTGCTATAGTTTTATGAGCAAATGTAGAAAGCTGGAGTAAATATATCTCCTTCTTGCATAAGTATGGCTTAAATTCAGCTGGAGTCCCATCCACGATTTCAAACTGTTTTATGCTTCTGTGGAAGTGGGCATATTAGCTCTATAATATTTATGTATTCAAGTGCCAGTTTTCATTCATATTCTCAGAATTATTGGCCATTTTAAGAAGTAATCGTCTAAGAAAGGTGACCGCTGTGAAATTATTCACTGTATTTTAATTTTTATTCATTCTCTACAATACTGCTTTAGGCAAACTTTATAGTCTTAGAGGGAAAATAATGTACAAAAAACATTGAAACTGTATCAATTTTATATGCAATTTATGTGAAAGAATATTGTTTCAATTAAAGAAAAAAATCATTGTTTCTTTATGATTTTACTGATTTTAGGTTATAATAACGGAAGCAATCAAAACTAATTTTTAATAATTAGTTTAAATGCTTAATTTTACACATGATATTAACAAAATTCCTTCAAATTTTGTTTTTGTTTTGCGAAACTCTTATGATGGTTGTATGGAAACTCAGAATTTCATAGCAAACAGTCTGAAAACAGACCTGTTTATACCTATTGCGTAAAACAAAAATGAACAATTATATCGTATTTTACCGTCTTTCTGATACGTGAATATTGCCTTTGGATTTCTTCGGTCTCGAGATAATATGTCTTTCCTAAATTCAAAATGGTGTATAGCAGATTCTTGTAAAGCGGAAGATACCTTTAATATGAAATTAATATGCATTTTATTTCCTTTTATTGTAGGAAAGCGGGCGTGCATTGGAGAATCTTTAGCACAGTTAGAAATTTTTCTCATCTGTGCATCACTTCTTCAAAATTTTGAGCTGCACCCAGGAGACAGTGACAAGACTTTGAAACTTCTACCGAGATAACAGCATTTACACCGAAGTCTGAATTAGCAAGAAGAATGGAGCTGAATGAAGAAACCATTCTGAGCAAAATTGATGGTTTACAATAAAATCATTATTATTCAAAATAAATATTGTGAATAATTTTTTTATTACATTCCCCATATCTCTGAAGCAAAGAACGAAAATTTCGAAATTGTTTATTAAGTCTCACTTTCTAATGACTCATTGAAATCAGACCACGTGTTTGTTACCTGTTTCGAATCTTTAAAGATTTCCCTAAGGGTTTCTTCATTTTATACCCTACCATTAAACGCATCCTAAACCGTGCATGAAAAATAAATACTATGAAACATACTCTAATACTTCTTAACTATCTCAAGTTCAACTACTACTATTAAATGCTATCTAAAGGTTATATTAGTGAACTATCAAAGCTAGCGCTCTTATAAAATGGACACTTCAAGGTCATTGCGACCCTCCCTTAATTTAGGATTGTTACATATGTCGCCCTTACCATACAGAGAAAATAAGCGTTTTTTTAGCAAATTAGAGGATTGCACGTTTTTCCCGCAGTAGTCGTTGCTATAGTTCTGAGTCGTGGTTGGGGAGAAAAATGGTCTTGAAAAGCCTGTTCTAAAGTAACTCACTACTATAGTCGGATAGTATGTAAATTAAATTCCTTCATAGTGAAATATAAGATATAAATAATAATACTAATTTCATTATACAATAATTTATTTTACCGCTGTCGTAGTTTAAACAGGAAGAAATGCATGCGATAAGAGATTAATGCAAAGAGCAATAGTGATTAAAATATTGATGTAAGTATATAGGTTGTCCTATCAAGACCGTCCAAACTCTCCAACTCCATATTCCTCGCTTGGAATCCGCAAAAAAAGCTCTGAGGACTGTACCTGTACAACCTATATAGTTTTCGAGGTAATAGCAAAAAAAAAAAAAATTATGATGTCATATCCGGTGGGAAAAAAAAAAGCTTATTGGAAACATGAACATCGGTATTTGCGTATGTTTATACAGAAAGATGATCAAAATGTCCACCGAGCCTATCGCATGTGCAGGCTTCGCAATGGCTGATTGCATGCGTTGCAGCTGTGTGATCTTTGATGTCCACCAAAGATCACACAGGATGAAAAACAGCAGCTAAGTTACTCTCTATAGTAACTAGTTCTCAATAGATCGGTTTTTTTCAGGTGGCTCCATAAGAAGAAATCCAAAGATGCCAGATCTTGCGGTTGTAAAACCGGACCTCCATGTCTACTCCAGCGGCCTAGTTATTCCATATCCAGCCGGTTATGTTGTTAAATGCGCCGGAGCTCCATCATGCTGGAACGATAGTTGATGTAACAAATATGACGCCATACGTTTCTTTTGAAGACTATAGGTTTTACAGCTATACGAGTAGTTCTTTGGTAATCTTTTATGCATCCTCAGCGAGGAATCTGGCTGTCCAGTGTTTGTGTAGTTTTGATGGAATACCCTGTATATTATTGTAAATTTGTGAAAATATTTACCGTATTTCCTTCCGTATTTTTCCCCTAGCTTTTTACAGCTAAATTTTGAAAATTAAAAAAAAAAAAATATTCGCGTAATTTTCCCTATCCTGTATTGCACGTAGGATTTTTGCTCTGAGGCAGTTTATTGGTAAAATCCATTCCCTGTATTATTTTCATTTTTCTTTACTGTATTCAGTTTCTATTTGTATTTTATCTATCAGACTTTCCCTTGCATTTATTATTTGAAACATATTTTGTGGAGATTTTACGGTACTTACGTATTATCGAAATCACCTTAATAGAAATCGCCAAAGCTTCAGAATACACCGAACTGTGGCAACCACGAGCATAACAATTTTCATGCAACTAATATGCATGACAAATATTCAGTTTCCAATGACGTCCTTTTCGTACGCATTCTTTTTGTTGCATTCCAATTTTCAAAGGTTTTATAGAAAAATTATGATTATTTTTTGCTTAATATGTGTGTGTAACGTGTATGTATGCAATATACATTTTTTTATAATAAAAGTAATTTTTTTCATTCCGTTAAATGTTCGCCAGATTGCGCCAGGGTGGTTATGATAATACGTAAATACCATTTTTCGTTAAGCTTTCCGGACGTAGCAGATATGATTCCATCTTATTTCTGTAATTTATGTTCCAGCTCATTGTAGCACATTTATTACTGATATGTTCGGGCTTTCAAAATCCGTAGTTTTTTGTTTGTCTCTTTCTCCTCTTTCCTCCGATGTTTCTTTTGGGAACTGCGTCAAGACTCATACATGTGAAGTGCCGCTGGAGCTTTTCAAGCTTCCGATATCCGTCAGATAGCGCAGTATTAATATTACCCTGTATGCATATTGGAATGACGGTTTCTTTTAAAGGAATATATAGAGAAATTTAAGAATTGTTTATCCATGACCACTTTTCATTTACATTCTGACTGTAATTGTCTTCTTCGAAAATTAAATTTCTGGCATAATTTTCCTCCCTCGATTTTCCGATGTTAAAATTAGTTTAAAAAGGGGGGAATACGCAAAGAAACACGGTAAGTTTATTTGGTTTTATTTCGGGTTTGCATATTTTTATTATGTTATGTGTTGTTTTTTAGTTATTTATTGAGTGCATTTTATTTTGTAATTTAATTGTGTCGTTTTCCATAACCAAGTTGGTGGCTAACTTATTTGGTTATACAAAATATTGTAATGTAAATATTTATTTCTTATATTATGTTGTATTGATTTTAATTCTGAATCGACACCTGAATTCTAAAGATAGCTCAACTAGAATGAGAGATTTTAAAATCTTTTAAGGAGCTAGATATCTTTACTTCTTAACTAGACTGCGTCCCCAAAAACTGAGGGAAAATCACAAAAAATAGCGATAACTCATTCAAAAATAAGCCAATCCGCATGAACTTTGAATATGTCGTCAAATAAGAATTTCTGAGTAAAAGTGTAGTATGCAAATTAATGGCGCTGCAATCAAAATACGACATCCGCAAGAAGCATAAAATTGTATGTTTCAGAGCAAGCCTGTAGATTTCGCTGTGATACTGAAATAAGAAATATGGAATAGTCAATTTTTAATTACCTCCAGGTATCATTTACTCAAAGAACTGCGATGGAGAGCTATTGGGAGACTAAAGGCAGGGCAAAATCAGACAGAAGTGGCCATATAGTTATATGTGAGTCCTGTGGTTCATAGAATTTGACAACAATATCTAACAACAGATTCGGCATCCAGGAGGTTTAGCCTAGGATGACCAACGAAGAGCGCTGATGACCAATATTTGTTGTTATGGTCATGAAGGAATAGAACCTCAACACCAACTCAGATCCTCCTTTGCTGCAGCTACCGGGAAGCTGGTGTCAACCTCAACAGTGCGTAGAAGGCTTCACGCAGAAGGTCTGTATGCGAGGCGACCAGCCATTTGAGTGCTGCCTATGTCCGTCATAGAAGAGGATGTTTGAGGTGGGCACGTCAACATGTCAACTGGACAGCTGATTAACGGAGGACTGTTCTCTTTATGGAAGAGTCCAGGTTTAGCCTCAAAAGTGGCAGTAGGCGTTATTTGATTTGGAGTTCATCAAACATAAGTAAAAGAGATGCATACGGAGAAGGCAGTGTCTTTCTTTGGGGGTGTTATCTCTTTGGTTGGTCGCACAGACCTCCGTGTCTTTCCAAGTGAAACCATGAATGCTCAAGCCTATAGAGATGATATCTTTGATGATTATGTGCGCGCTTATGTCTGGGTAATAGGCGATCATTTTCGGATATAGAACAACAACTCTATACAACACAGGGCTCGTGGATGATTATATTGCAACAAACAATTGAATGCATGGAATGGCCAGTTCGTTCACCGGACCTGAATCCTAGCAAGCATGTTTGAGATACTTCAGGAAGACGTATTGCTGTTCTCAATTCTTCTTTTCAGATCCTTGCCACGCTTGCAACTGCTTAACAAGAGCAATGGCTCTACTTTCCTATGAAACTGATAGACTGCATAATTAAAAGTATCGCACATCGTTGTCTGTGTTATATTACTTATAGGGGAGATAATATTTCATACTGAAGATAATTTTCCCTTACCAAATAGATACATCCGATTTGTTCATGTTATACATATGCTAATTTCTATAACACCATAATTATCTAGTGGTCTCTTTTCATGTTATTTTATACCTTACTGTGTGTTTTATACTGTGGGTCAGTTTCATTCATTCAGATACTAACAATGGTAACTTGTCGTTACCATTGTTAGTATCTAAATTTTTGAGTAATCTTCATTTTTGTGATTTTCCTTAATTAATGATAACCATTGTAGGTGAAGTCCAACTTCTATCCCTCAAATATAACGTAAAAGCTGTCTGGTGAGTTATCACAACTAGCTTAATTGATTTCCGAGTGGTGCTAATATGTGGGGGGAAAATCTGATATTAGCAGTTGTATTAAGAACTTATTAACATGAAATGGATTTAAAGTTTCATTAGGAATTGAGTTAAATGTTGTCTTGGCTTCTCTTTGATTCTTGTCACATATATTCATTTAGATCAGAAAGTTATACGAATGTAAAATACATGCATATAAATTTTAAATACAAATAAAAGTTAAATGCAACTCTTGCCTTTTTATGTCAAGAGCTTTCTCATCGTTGATACCATATTTCCTCGCGTATTTTCCTCCTATTTTTAATAAATTTTATCAGCCGAAAATCGATAAGGGAAAACCCGATTACGGTAAGAACATAACAAAGAAAATGTAGTCATGCGAAAACTGCTATTAACTGTCAAAATATTGTTTCTTTAAAAGACACCTACATTGCAATAAAATACATAGTAATATTAACATTACAGTATCAGATAGATATGGAGCCTACATCTGACGGTTATTGAGTACGATACGTGACCTGCTTAGTTACTTTGTAAAGTCCCAAGACCCTCTCACATGAATGAGTCTTGACCATAGTTTCCAAGAAGGACATCAGAGGAACGGAAGACAAGGTGGCCGTACAAAAGATCCAGATTCGAAAGATCGAACACATCAGCAATAAGTAAAGCCCAAATGAACTGGAATATGAATAATAGAAGTGATAAGAAGGTGGAGTCA